CTGAATGTCAGGATTTCATTATAGAAATAATGGGACCACTTGATCCTGTATTAATCCTAACTTAGTTTTATTTATGTTACAGAATGTCTGAAAGCGTGGGATATTATCTCCCTCATTTAAATCACAAGTGAATTAATCAAATACAAGAGTGAAATTTAATGAGAAATGTATTTAATGTGTACCAGGAAAATTTTAGAGAAAAGACAGAATGGAGGAAAGGTCAACATGATCATGTTTGTTGTATGTTTGTTGTATGTTTATTCATTTCATTGTAATCATCATTTAAATAATGAAAACAAACCCTGATGATACAGTTACTGAAATAATTATTTGTTGCTTAATTGGGAGTGTTATGTACTTTCTATATATGGCATCAGAAAAAAAGTATGAATTTAGAATCAGTAGCTTTTTCTTTACAGAATTTAAGAATGTAGTATTCTTTATTATATCATAAGACAATAGTAACAGATAAGAGTCTCCCTGGCCCCTGGAATATATACATGTATTGACATGACAAAAATTAAGACAGCAAGAAGCTGGAAATGTTTTCTAAGGAACAAAATATCCTTTAATTAAGATGATGAATTAGAAGATTGTCGTAGCAACGGTCATTTCTACGTTGTACAGATGTTTGCTGTTCTAGAATAACTTCATTATACTCAAACTAATTGATTTAAATAATTAATGGTTGGTCGTATTATTTATTATAAGGAGTTTGGTTTTGTTGATGTGATTTATGGGGCAGATTGTAGTTTGTTTTGCTAGTCTGAAAATTGACTTAATTGAGATAATGAATACAGTCAGATAATAACTGCTCAGAAAAGAAGTGTTTGCTGTTGTACACTATAGGGGAATGATTCTTTAATTTAAACTTGATGCTTTAAATTATCATATTTCAATTTTATTTTAAATGAGTGCCAACATTTCTTTTTAAATTAGTGTTGATTTTCTTTTCATTTTTAAATTTGTGTTTTTTTTATTTAATCAATTTATAATAAGTAAATGCTGATTTTTCAGTTTCATATTGAACGAGTGAAATTTTATTTGAATATATTAATTTGCAAATTTACTTTATGTTTTTGTTTGGCTGAAACAAATTGATTAATTATTTAAGTTAGTCGTGAAAGCTATATCATAATGGTTATAAAATATTCATTTAATAAATATAGATTAGATTATTGTGTCATTTATTGATATTCTTTAAATTGCCCTGTGTGGGATTGATATAACAATAAAATAAAATATAATGTAAACATTAATATTTTATAACTATATATAGAATTATTATCTCTGACAATATGAAACTAACCTTATTATAACCTGGTTTAGCCCAGTGAAAGTCTTCTAAAGTTTACTTTGTCGTAACAAGGAAATTTGTTAGATTTTGGCAATGTTTTAGCAATCTATACAGATAAACCTTAATCTACTGCAGGAACCAAAAGTGATTATCATTTATCACCTGAGTATAGAGCCAGGCCAGGCCTGCTTTTCCTTGTAGTCTGTCTAGGTTATATATTATTGACTTTCTTAATTTAAATATTAATCTTGATATTTTCTAAAAATTAATAATGGACATGCAGTTCCAAAAATGTAAGCTGGACAAATACTTAAAGAAAGTCTGGAGGTTAATTATAGCAGATACTACAGCTTCCTCTTGAGTAGCTAAATTTCTGTAGAATTGTAAAAATGTGAAATGTTGAAAATCTTGTGCAATGCGGAATCATGATTAAAATGGATTTGATATAAGTCTCATGGGCCTTAAACTTTATTTAAATGATGAATTAAGCTGTAATAATAATATTATAATATACTGGTATATTCCCATACAGAATATATCTCAACATCATGTATATCTTTACATGTTATACACTGAAACAGTGTGAAACAATTTAAAATAACCTTGTAACATCATTTCATGTCCTGAAATACATAAAATTTCCTGGTGAATTCATAAAACAGTGATTAGATAATGAGTTGACATGGAAACTGTAATTTTTAGCTCGACTTTTCTATGAAAAGGGGAGCTATCCTACTCGCCCCGGCGTCGGCGTCGGCGTCGGCGTTAGCGTTGGCGTCACACCTTGGTTAAGTTTTTCGTACCACCCCACTTTATTTCAGAAGTATTACAAGTATGGCTTTGAAACTTACCATACTTGTTCACCATCATAACCTCCATCTACAGACAAGAGTACATAACTCTGTCAAGGTTTTTGACAGAATTATGGCCCTTTTTTGACTTAGAAAGTGTATTGAGCTTGGTTAAGTTTTTTGTACCACCTCACTTTATTTCAAAACCATTGGAGGTATTGCTTTGAAACTGACCATACTTGTTTACCATCACGACCTTCATCAACAGACAAGAGGACATAACTCTGTCAAGGTTTTTGACAGAATTATGCCCCTTTTTGACTTAGAAAATACATTGAATATGGGTAAAATCCACTTATTGCCTTAACCCTTTGAGATATTGCTTTGAAACTTTTAATGCTATTTCACATCATTACCCCCATCTGTACGCAAGAGAAGGTAACTCTGTCAAGGATTTGTTTTAAAAATTAAGGCCTTTTATCGACTTAGAATCTTGGTTAAGTTTTTAGTACCAGTCCACTTTTTGACTGAACTGTTTGAGATATTAATTTGAAAGTTGGAATACTTGTTTACAATATGATTCCCAAACATGTCCAGGAGAAGGTAATTCTGTCAAAGATTTTATTTGAATTATGGCCCTTAACTGTCAATGTTTTGTATTATAGGCAAGCACTAAAAAACTTAAAAAATCTAAAAAAATTCATTCCTATCCACTTGTTCACTTTACCATAAATTATGTCATATAAACATTGCTGTAATATTCAAGGGTATCAAACAACTAGTTCACTTTAAAAATACAGAGATTCTTGTATTGCCTTTTACTGCAAAAACTTTTTTTATTGGCAAGCAATAAAAAAGTCGAGCGCGCTGTCTTACGGACAGCTCTTGTTTACAAGTACACCTGAAATTTTCTCTTTATAATATCAGTAGGTAAATGTGAAGATAAAAAGTAAACTGTTTAAAAGTATGCTTTACAGTTCAAATGCTGTATAGTCAACATAGAAAATAAAAATCATGAAAATATGAAATTGATAATTTTTCACAAGTGGTAAATGAAGAGCAATCAGAGTTACTTCTCATTACAGTATCAATTGTTCTGTTGAATTTTAAAAAACAACAACAAAAAAACTAGATACAACATGGTAAAGGTGATCATTATATGACTTTCTTGTTTGAAAAATTTTGTTGGATTTTCTCACTGGTCTCTCAGTTATTGTACTATATAAATGTTGTTATGTATGTTTCACCCGGGAAGGGGAGATAATAACGGGACATAATATAATTTTACTAATTTAGTCTGGACTTTTCTTTTGCACTGATTTTAGTCTCATAAGCCAGATTTCAAATTTCTATGGGAAATAAAATCTGTAAAATCAGTTATCTGCAGAACTGTTGTTAAAGTAGGGAAAAAGTGCTGAGCTGTGCATTTTGTGAAAACTTCATTCATACGCGCTCACCCTTGGGAAATCGTCAGCGAGAAAATAGATCCATGATCAAGTGAAATTCAATTTTGCATATTTCTCAGCAGAGTTCAGGATTCTGAAATGTACCAGAAATATCTCCATTTGCATTATTAAAACATCAATACTAATCTGTGAAATGTGAAAAAAAATAATCTGACAATTAGGAAATGGATTGACTGTGATGCAAGGGGGCTGTGTATAATTTATCACCATTTTTTTTGTTGATGTTTATTTCAAGAACAAACAAAGGTGGATAAATTGAATTATTTAAACATCTCATTTGATTATCTCATTTTGCTAATTAAGCTGTAGTTATATCCAATTTATTGTCAGTTTTCTTGTCGTGTTATCAAATTAGCTTGTGGTTTTCAAATAATGTATTCTAGAGGCAATCAGTTTTACCCAGAATTAACATCAGTACATGTTTATACTGCATGAAATTTGCAGGAAGAACTTCGATTTAGTTTAGCTTTATTAAAGAAAATGTTGACAATGTGCCTGTAGTTGAAGATATTATAAAGTTCTGTTTAATTCGTAGAATACAGATACAACAATTGACTGTAAAATCCAGCTTATATTATAATATGAACAAGTAATCTGTTACATATAGATTACTGAAATGTATCTATAGATGTCATATATTTTTAGTGTATCTCAAATTTTAGCAAATCTTTTAAATATGTGGCCAACTAGAGATTGAGGACTTTAAATCCTCCCTTTATGAAATGAGCATTTTATATTCATTTTAAATACTTTTATAATTATACTTCTTATGAGGTTATATTTTGTTCAAAGATCAAGTATTAAATTTAATGTTTCTGTAAAGAATAAATTCAGTAATTGACTGTAATGAGTACGGCTACTTAAAAGTAATATGATGGATATTTGCTGAGCTTAGAAATTTTGAGAATAAAGGATTGTGGGAATGATCTACATTTACTCCAACTTAAGTTATTAACAAGTCTCTCAAATAAGGCTATAAAAAACAGAGGCCCTTTGTAATGATGCTTTACTCCTTGCATGTAAAAAGGTCCAAATGTTGCTTCCTCCTGAAATAGAGTGATTTCTGTAGCTGTTAGCTCCAAAATATAGAATTACTATATCTAACAGTCTTTTGAAGTGTCAGTGGCCCATTTGGATTTCCGGTTGCCACTATAAATAAACATAAATCATTGGAGTATTTGTCAGGATGTATTAATCACACACAAAAAATCACTAATTTACAGAATGATTTAAATTTAAGAAGAAACAGAGAAATTATTTCATACAAGATGTCAACTGTTCAGCATGTAATTCATTTAAACCAAGATCTTGAATGTGCCTAAGTTCCGGCATGAAAAACTTCAATTGGTCTACCATTTCCTTTATTATAAATATGAATTTTCTTTTTATATTTTTGGAGATAGGGTATAGCAAAATAATAAATAATCATTATTTTTCTATTTTTAGATCGTTCGTTCATAGACATCTGTTCCCAGCATACGGTGACGGCAAAATCTGTACACATTCATCACTCGGCTATTCCTCCTAGTATATATAACTATAACCAATGTTCGTGTCTCATCTCGCCCGACGTCTGCAACACCACCGCGAAGCTGAAATTCCGAGCTGTAGATATAAGGTTACAAGATAAAGACAACTTGACCAAATGTTCACTTGACAGCAGGATGGAACTGATTGGACAATGGGATAAGAAACTGTATAGCTGCGAGTCGGGCAAATTTCTGCACGGTTTTGAAGATTTTCATATTAGCAGCGAAAACAACATGGTGCTGTTTCTCCATAAAATGCCAAGAGTTTATCCAACAAAAGTCTGGCTTGAAGTTCAAGGTATATTTTAATGTTAAACATTACATGAAAATACATAAAGGTCAAATATATAAACAAATTGTACAACTTGCTGAAAAATTCAATCTTGTTGCCACCTGTGTCCTGATGAATTTCGTAGCCAGACATAAGTACCAAATATGGGACTAAATATAGGGCATTTTTGGGCAAGCTAGTACATAAATATAGTTATTTTAAATTTGTATTTATTCTGAAAGAGCTTGCAGAAGAAATGTAAATTTGAAATAATGTTGTATTTATGTACTCGATTCTCCAGAAACGTTGTCTTTTTATATGTTTATATATTCAAATATACATATATTCAATGTAAGTAACTATGTTGTGTAACAGATGTAAAGATAAATTTATTTTTTCATAATTAATTTGATAATAATTATTGTCACCTTATGACAGCTTGTATCTGTAATTGTCTTATATAAATTATGAACACGAATGATTTTTTTGTATAAACGTGTTTCCATTTATAAATGATGGACAATATAATGTCATATTTCTGAGTAAAACAATTTAATATATAAAAGTTAATCACGGACAAATGTCTGGTCCTGTGACAACAAAATTCAGTTTGAGAAATACACAACATTGTGGTGTTTTAACATCATGTAAGGATAGGCTAGAAGACAAAAAGGCATATTAGAAAATTTTAGATTGGTGAATCCATCTTTTAGCTCAGAAGTTCTGAAAAGTTATTCCAAGAGGAAAGAAATACTAGTTTTTTTACACATAGTTTATTGTCAATTATCTTGCACATTCTCAGTAAAATTTGTAAATGTTTCTAAGAAGTATGCCCCTTAGAAGTACACCCCATCTGTCAAAACTTGCAAATTAGTTGTGTTAAATAATTTTCAAAGTTTCTCTAATTGGGTTAAAAGGAAATCTCCTCATTCAGCATCTGCCTTGAAAGCATAATTTAAATTCTTAAATTCTTGATTTTATGATGTTTTAACTGTGTTAGGAAACACCTTCTGTCATAATTATACTATAATTTAATTCATTAGCATACTGGAGTGAGTCATTCTACAGTAGTATACACAATACAATGCCAGTAGCTCTAGGCTTGAATTTTTCAGTATCTATGAACAGTAAATTTTTCCTCCATGTCTTCAAGTATTTGTCTCTGAAGGTATCTTATAATAATCCCTGGCATTAGGAGAAAAAACAAAATATTTGAATAATTATGAGATCTTGGGAAGAATGCGATGATTTATATTAATTGCTCCAATCTTAATGGCAGCATTTAAAAAAAATTGTCATTTATTTTTTATAAAATAAGGTAAGAGTAATCTTTCCTTCAATTGTAATGTATGAGGAGTCTTGAGTAAATTTCTGTAAATGTAGATTTGTCATTATATTTCCATGATGTCAGGTTGAAATTGGAAAATTAAATGTTTATTTTAAATGTTTATTCAAAACAACATTACTATTTTCAAAGAAGTGACATTCTATCCAAATTGAGAGATTCAACATTGAGTATAAATGAATCCTATTTTTCATGTTTTTAAACTAGCCAACGTTATATATTTTGAAGTTTGATTCACTAAAGTAGCAAAGATGTTTTTTTATTATAAAGTAATTTCTTATCAATATTAAGGATTCCTTATAAAAGCTTGGCAGATATTTTGGGAAAAACGCTGATGCTTAAAACTTTAAATGTAATTTATGACAAACCTTAATGTAATTTATGAATTTCTCTTAAAAGCATAAGACAGATAATGTAGTTTCAAAAGAAAAAACTTCCAAAAATCAATTCTATTTATATCACTAGCTGCAGGAAAGGAAAAGTTTTGAATATGAAAAATGATCATGTAACCAGACATAATATTAAGATGTTGGGAGAAAATCTTGTTGGCAAACATTTCACTATGCTAAAACCAGTAAAGGTCTTAAGATGCTAACGAGAATTTAGATAGAAACAGACCAGGGTGTTGTTTACATTGAAAAAAAAATATATGTTTAAACTGTCTGGTTCAATAAATGTATGTGTGTGCCTGAACAAATAGATAAAATTAATGTCTTTACTGAAATGCTGGAATACATTATTATACATCTTGCACAACTACAGGGTTTGCGTTATCATAAATCAATGTAATTTTACAGAAGATCAAAACTGACAAAAAAAAATGTGAACAAGATAATCTAGAGGCTAATATTATAACTGTTTGTCAATTTGTGAAATCTTTAATAAGATTATATCTGATTTAGACACATTTTTTACAGATTGTGAAATCTTAATTTCATAGGAATCAGGACTTTTTATAAAGCTAAATTTTAAGCTGCATGCATCAAGAGTCATGCTGAATTTCATAAAAATTGAGAAAAATTTAATGTAAAAAAATGTTGAAGCTGTTGTCATGTGAGCTAGTCTTTTAAAGGCAGTTACTATTCTCAAAATTTACATTTTTAATGTGTGCGAGTATGCAAAAATGTCATCAGTGTGTATGGTGTTAAAAAGATGATGATAATAATAGTAAATTTGGATATAAAACATGTTACATTGACTTTACAAAATATCACAGAACTTATTGTTATTTATAATACCTTTTTCAAACTTGTTATATACTAGTATATTTCTTAAGTTTGATTTTTTTTTAAGAAATTTGTTTACTTGTCTTGAGGCATTTTGCTGTAAGTTTTTATATCAATTCTTCTGGTATTGGATATGTCAATTCACTGGTCATTTCCCTTATAAGTTCTTTTTAAGAAGTATGTTTTTATAAAGACTTTTATATGCTTGAACAGAACAAGTTAGTCTTATAATCCAACTGAATGTGAAATTCAAATAATTTTACCTGCTTGAATAGGACTTACACTAGTGACTTTTAAACTGGTGTCAATACTTGATACTTTCTAAGCTGTCAAATTATGTTATTGTCAGTAAATGGTTAAGAAAATTACGAAACATTGTAAGACATTACTTATCAGATTTATTTAACGTCACATCATAATGTATAGATCTAGTGTACAGATTAGTAATTTTAAATAGTTCGCCTCGAGGTCACAGTGATATATATCTATTTACTCATTCATTTTGATATATCATATATAAATAAAATAGGTTATACAGGTAATAGTAAAATATCAAAACAATTAAAATGACATTAGAGTAGGTAATTATTTAGATAAACAATACTTTAAAGAATAAGGTACTGGTATATGCTTTAAATAAAGCAGATTGTTATCTGTAGGAAAATATCTTCCCCATAATTATGATTGTTTATCAACCAAATTAAACTAATATCTCACTAAATATCTTATCAGAGGTGCAGCTTTTTTATTTCTAACCATATAAACTAGGAGTTACTGTCCTAGGTTAAAATATATATTGTATATATAAAGTATAGTATGTTTAGATGATGAGTATGAAAAAATGATATTGAGGTTAAGAATGGGGTCAGTTATTTATTGAAAATAGATACTCACTGTAATTCATAGGTTTATTCTACAAGGTAAAAATGTTATCCTTCTGCCCCCAAACCCCTATATATATTTAGATCACTAAATTTGTATTTTTATTTCATTTATATACAAAAAAGATATATATATTTCTGTATAAACAAATTCTAAGATAAATGTCAATATTATACATATGACTAGAATATATATATTGAGCATAGAGCTTAAATTTTGATGAAAATTATGTGCTTTTACATGTATACAAATATTCTAAGTTGTTTTGTTTGTCATATTAATGTCGGGAAGATGTTAAATTTCAGCTTCTCTTTCGGATGTGAAGGTCAGGGTGACATGTGGCCCTCGGAGTGTGGAGACTGCCCCTCGTTGTCCTGCCATACCAATTAGCCAATCAGAAACCATAGACACAGTGGAGGATGTCCCAGAACGGAAAAATAATAAACCAAGTATGATACTGAAATTTGTACCTGTTTGTTTGTTAGAAAAATAATAGTAGTAATAGGGTCTTCTGTGTGTTTTTGATTGTAGCTTCTGATTTTAAGTCATTCATATGCTGCTGATTGTTCTTAAAATGGGAATTCACAAAATGTTAATAGACAGCCATCTTAAATTGTCCTCGACAACCTATGCAATCTTGATAATTGACATATAACTTAACTGGTGGTGAGAATACTCCAAATCACCCTATTGAAAGCAACTTGTTTTTCTGCAGGGCCTCAGTGGCTAAGTGGTTGATGTCACTTGCTGTGAATAACTTTCCCCTCATTAATTAAGGATTTAATTTGCCCAGAGACTTTGGATTCTTTCATTTTAGGAACCTACATGTATTTTGTTAGCTAATGAAAGGTCGTTGTTCTACCCGGGTGCTGACTTGTGACTGAAATAATGCACAGAGAGGAGCACCTGAGGTCTTACTCCACCATTAAAGCTTAAAGTTTGCCATATTACCATTACAGTTATATTTGTGATTTAAAACGAACAAAATCAAACCAAACATTCAGTTTTGTAGATTGAAATTCTTCTAGTTAAGGACATTAATCATTGTGCTAGTGATAATGGTTGTTGATTGTGTTACATTAGCTACATGTATTACAGATCATTTAAACAAAACAATCAGTCTGTTATATTTCCTTATTTTATCAGACTATAAACAACATACATGTACCTTTGATAGAAGCAAGTCCATATTTTAGAGGAAAATCAATTTAGGTTGGAACCTATAATATTAGGATGTGTAATAGAATATCAGTAATGTTTGTATACATAGGGACATTTTCCATTTGTATTTTAAAACTAAAAGTATTCAATATGATGGAGAAAGTAATTCAATTAATGGAGGGGAAACCATTTTACTGTGATTACAGCAATTTACAGTCCTCTGTAGACAAAGTGACAGTTACATAACAATTTATTATAGCAAATGTTCACTATCAGACTGTTTTCATTTAGTTAAAGTTGTTTCTATCTGTCAGCTGGTTTAGATAAATAACAAGTTTGTGATTCTAGTCATGCAATCATGCAAATTAGAATTTTTTAAATGGTATTATTAGAAAAAAAATCTTATTTTAAACAGAAGATAAAGTTAACATAAGGACCATTTAACCTGATATTTGTCAGCATCCATGTAACAAAAATTGTATGCTGGGAAATTAATGAGAAATTATTTTGCATAATGTTTTTGAGTGCTTGATTCTATCTATAAGAATGGTTTAGGCTTACTGACACATTATACAACAGGTTGTTTTTATTATATTTCATATACATGATGTATACATGGGTACAAGTTTTCAGGCATCCTGAAAGTGCTCTTTTTCATATAATTGAATATATACATTGCATACAAACCAAATAAAGAAATGCCTTATTCAGGGTTTTCTTATATTTTGAACTTGCACCCATGTGTATACCCCACCTCCACTTTTTAGTCCCCTACCGGTTTACCGCCTCCGTCCGTCTGTCCGTCCGTCCGTCAGTCCGTCCGCACTACCGAAAAGGGATAGGGGGCCATCTAACTGTAAACATAACAAAAGAGAACAATAGAGTTCATTCCGTAACAATAGAGTAAGGGGCCATTGGCCCTCTATTAAACAATAGAAAATAACAAAAGAAATGGCCCCTTATTCCATTTCGGCCGGACGTCCGTCTGTCCGTCCGTCAGTCCGTCCGTCCACAAAACTGGATCCCGCGATAACTTGAAAAGTACTGAAAATATTTTTATGAAACTTGGTATATGGATAGATGGCAGTATGGAGATTATGCACGTCTTTTTCTTTTCTTCCTATGTTGAAAATTCTGGTTGCTATGGCAACAAATAGGCTGAAAATATGGCAAATTTTACACATAAACTGGATCCAGTGATAACGCAAAAAGTACTGGAAATATTTTTATGAAACTTGACATATGGGTAGATGGCAGTCTTGAGATTATGCACATTTTTTCTTTATTTACTATGTTGAAAATTCTGGTTGCTATGGGAACAAATAGGCTGAAATTATGGCAAATTTTACACATAAACTGGATCCAGTGATAACGCAAAAAGTACTGGAAATATTTTTATGAAACTTGACATATGGGTAGATGGCGGTCTTGAGATTATGCACGTCTTTTTCTTTTCTTCCTATGTTGAAAATTCTGGTTGCTATGGCAACACATAGACTGAAAATATGGCAAATTTTACACATAAACTGAATCCAGTGATAACTCAAAAAGTACTGGAAATATTTTTATGAAACTTGACATATGGGTAGATAGCAGTCTTGAGATTATGCATGTCTTATCTGTTTTTCCTATTTTGAAAAAATATCAGTTGCCTTGGCAACAAATAGGCTTAAAACATGGCAAATATAACAATATTTGTGATAAGTAAAAAAGAGATGAAATTTTTTTATGAAATTGCATCTTTAATTCAAGAGTTATCTCCTCTTTAAGAATTTTGCTTTTAAAATGTTATATTTTGGTAACAGGGATGTTTCAAATATTAACTTTAGAGTGTCCTTCAGTCCGTCTGTCTGTCTGTTCATAAAAACTATTTCCTGTGATCACTTTTAAAGAACTTTTCCAACAAATTTACTTAAAATAGAGAAAAATTGAAACATTAGTGAATGGCCAATGGCCCTTCAGAATGTTGATGGGGTTCTAACCGGTAGGGGACTTATGGATTGCTTGCAATACTATGATAATTGCTTGTTGTCATTGCTCCTTTGTCCTTGTTTTATAATTCTATATTTTTCAACATAATATTATACACAATATTTACATCATGTTTACGTTATAATACTTGTGTGTATATATAAGAGTATGTATTTATATATTACAGCTATAATACATTTAGATCCTGATGACATTGACCATGACATTGGTAGACCAGAAAAGGATGAACCTAGGGAGAAACAAAATCCTGGTACGTTCATGATATCACTAATGTTATACAACATTGTGTACATGTCATCTCTACACTATTATTTAAATTAAAGCTTGAATATTTAATATATGAATTAAGTTTATAAAGCTGTGTATCTGTTGTCTATAGTTTACAATAATTGTTGTTTTGTTTTATCATTGACAATGAATAATTCCAAAATACCTTATGAAATATATCCCTGAGGGGCCAATGACACATGCAGGAAATCATAGCATCATCAGAACATTTTATGCTGTTCATGTACAGTTTTTATGTGTGTTGAATAACACAGACATTCTATTCAAGAATCTGAAAAACATTTATTTATATTAATATTAAACTTTATAGAAATATTTCAATAATGAGATATAGCTTTATGGGTGACTCTACCAAGGTGACCCTCTCTTGAAGTAATTGACAGAGTCTGTCTTTGAAATAAAAACCCCTACAGATGCTTTATGATGTTTTGTTTTAAATTGCAGTTTTGAGAGAAATTGATTGTCAATTTATTTTAAAATGAAGGTTTGATATGAAATGAACTAAGCTAAAAGCACTTATAGACAAATTAAAACAGACATTTGTATTGTTTTTTTCTTCAAGTTTATATTTTTATTTGACAATACAGAAGACAATTGTGGGATAGTTTTCATACTAAATTATGAATAAAGTCAGTCAAGTAACTCAAGTTATTGGGCATGTGTGCACACTAGAGATTTTACCTTGAAATCACTGTTTATTTCTTAATTAGATATAAATAACACCTGATTGTATATATTGTTATTTTAATTGGCAAAATATTTGGCACCAATTTACAACATTAAAATAATATACAGTACAACTTGTTGATAAAGACCATCTTATAGAAGTCAATAGGTCTTTGTACCACAACAAGTAATTAATATGTAGAGGTTCATTTTATGAAATAAACTATGGCCTTTAATGTGCCAGGTTTTACTGTATAAGGTATTTGCATATTTAAAGTATTAATCATGCAATTGAAAATGTTTTCAGCTACAATTAGTAAAGTTTATGAACTGCATTAGTTCTACATATAGAGTAAAGTTTATGAACTAAGTACCTACATTTATAGTAAAGTTTATGATCAAAATAAGATCTCCATTTACAGTAAAGTTTTTGAACTAAAATTATATCTCCAGTTACAGCAAAATTTATGAACTAAATAAGATCTCCATTTACAGCAAAATTTATGAACTAAATAAGATCAACATTTACAGCAAAATTTATTAACTAAATAAGATTTCCATTTACAGCAAAATTATGAACTAAATTAGATCAACATTTACAGCAAAATTTATTAACTAAATAAGATCTCCATTTGCAGCAAAATTTATGAACTAAGTAAGATTCCATTTACAGCAAAATTTATTAACTAAATTAGATCAACATTTACAGCATAATTTATGAACTAAATAAGACCTCCATTTACAGCAAAATTTATGAACTAAATTAGATCAACATTTACAGCAAAATTCATGAACCAAATAAGAACTCCATTTACAGCAAAATGAATGAACTAAATTAGATCTTCATTTACAGCAAAATTTATGAACTAAATAAGATCTCCATTTACAGCAAAATGTATGAACTAAATTATATCTTCATGTACAGTAAAGTTTTTGAACTAGAATTAAAAAATTAGGGTCTACATTTAAAGATCATTTACTTAATTTGGTTCTACATTTACAGTAAAGTTTATGAATTAAATTACTGAAATTTATTAACTGATTACACTTACTAAATTTGGTTCTACATCTATAGTTATGTTCATGAACTGGTGTAGTGTTTACATTAAACACAATGGTTATGGTTTGGTAAGTTCCTAAATGTATGGTCATGTTTATGAACTAGTTTAGAGTAATGTTAAAGAATTTTTGCATGTGTTTGAAATAAAAACATTGCTCATTTATAGTAATCATTAATGTTTATGAATTGAATTAGAGCATAGTTCCTGCCTTTAACAGGCAAATTTCATGAATTGCATTTGGCTTAAGAAATATTATAGTATCTATAAATCATGAGATGTGGTAGTTTAATCATCATTGATTGTTAATGGCTGCACTCACAGCTAATGTGATAGACATGTATTGAGTGCATTACTTCTCTAAATATTTAATGGTGCATTTGTGTAATTGTCATATCTGCTGTATTTTCACAGCTTGTCTACAGCCTAATTGATCATATGATAAGTGTTTCCTGTCACCCCAATACTTCCCTTGCTAAAACTGTGGACGACAGTAGTTGTAAAGTAAATACATTCCAATCTTAATCTTCAAAGACCATTGGTCTGTAAATGAAAGTCTGTGTCAATATGTAGTCTTACAATGCATATCAATTTAAATATATTGAAAACAGGACTGAAAATGATGAATTTACATATTGTTTAGATGTTTTGATATCCATTGAGCTTGTTGTGTAAAGACTAAATAATGAAACGATTGCACTGGTTCTTCAATAACGTTGTTTAATTTCCCATTACCGGAAGTCAACCCGTATAATGACGTCAATAACATATAAAAAGGAGCGTCAAGCTAACATGACGCTAATATTGGCACAATAACTCAGTACATGCATATGCACATAACAGAGGTGTTACATTACTGTACAGGTTTTACAGTATTTCAGTAAAGTTTAACTTGCCTTGTTTATGTAGTAGGACTTTGATAGTAACCGCCTCCGTGGTCAAGGGTTAGAGTCGATGACTTTTAATCCAGTTACCTCTCTGGCGTGGGTTCGATCCTAGGGAGATGCTTTGGCAGTTTAGCGCGAAGGAAGGTAGTCTAGTTCTGGGTTAACTCTCCAGGAACAATGGTTAGGAAACTACCCGCCTATATGACTGAAATACTGTTGGGAAAAGGCGTAAAATGAAACAAACAAGCAAGGACTTTGATAACCCCTACTTTATAACTTTGTATAATGGACTTGCCCAGCTTTAAATTTAGAACAGTCCATTAGTGTTTAAGGGGTTTCATTATCAAAATACAAAAATGGCACAGCTGGGGTCACACTACATACATGTGAAGGATGGCCTGGTATTGGTTTCTTCTTATTCCTACTAGCACTCAGAGGTCCATATTTGATTCAACTTGGAAACAATATAAATACATGGTTTAAGTAAAATAGCGCAATTTGAATATTTCTCTGCATTTGCCAGGAACAGTCACAAAAAATTCTAAATTGAGGATAAATGTAAAACATGGCAACAATCTCTTTTCTAAGACTTCATGATTTATTTTCAAATTGTGATTTTTCATTGATTTCAGTTAAAATGAAGTGACTTTATGGAAGTTTGTAATTTATTGATGTACTTAACCTTTTCTTTTTCTTTGCCTACTTTAACTTCATATTTTCAAAGAAGTAAATGCTATTAGCGTGCCATTAAAACAAACTTAATTTTATGAAATCTTTAAAATCTATAATTGCCTTGGCAGATGTTATTAAGATGTATGTTTTTTAGGGTTTAACTGTAGGAAAAGTTTTGTTAAATGTCAGATAAGATAACTGGGTACAGTTAGAGGTTAAGTTACTTCATTCAAAAGAATAATTTATATAAACTGTAACTGTATCCAAAAAGTGAAACGTGAAAGTTGAAGGTTTGAATACCTAGATAAACTCTTGGTTAACATAATTCATAGTTCATAGTATGAAAATAAGTGAATATAAGTGAAAGTAAAGAATTTACTGCATTTTAAAAGACCAACATGTCAGACTCAATAAATGGTAAAATATTTTTGTTGTATTATTCATGTTCTAAATGGTCTAAACTTAAATTATTGTTAATTGTAAACAATTTTACTTACTTAAGTTACACTCCTGGGAAATATATACTGATGTTCAGTAAGGTGATACAATGTGTATATTTTATATTTACAGCTATGGCGGCTATTATAGGTGGTATCGTGGCAGGTGTGGTGGTTCTTATACTCCTACTTGTACTGGTCTGTCTCATCATCAGGAAAAAGTAAAATATATTTTTTATTTATTATTGTCTCTTTATTCACTTACATTTTATATTTTCCAATTTATCACTGATATTGCAAAAGTGTGTTTGATAAATTTGATGTCATTTTATTTAGATGAGAGTAGAAATCTTTGTCTGAAAATAAATATAAGAGAATTTAATATGTCATCTTTAAGATTAGAATTCAGTGAGTAGAATTGATTTTTGTGCTATAACCATTTCGCATTTAAACTATATAGCAATCCGAATTCTAACAGTTTGAAAATTTTGAACCTACTAAAGGGAAACAACTGCCATTAACAAGATAAAAGTAGTTCACAAAAATTGCCTCCCTTGATTTGAAGAAATAATTTTAAAAAACTTTGATATTTCAGAAGAGTTCCTTACATATATAAGTTGTAAATCCTGGTTGGTAGGTGTCTAAGTTAAAGTTTAACATGCAAGTGCATGGGTGATACATTTGTGTTTATTTTGATGTTTATAAAAGCATTTGTTTAAAAAATTACCCTTGGACCCAAATTTTAATTTATAAATGTTCAGAAATTTACTAGAGTCAAGCATGTGTTTTTGAGAATGAAAGCATGTGCATGTATGAGAGTTAAGACTACAGCCTGTGGCTGAACATTGCCTGACATGTTACTGAAAAGATAAGTAAAGACTGTAATGACAAAAGAATTTTTTGTGGCGCATCATGACTGTTTGTAAACACAACTCTTACCCCTGCAGAATGGTGGTGTAAATAGCAGGCATAAAAAAACATTTTCAGAGTCACTCATCCTGCAGGATGAGTACTAAAAAAAACTACTTCTAAATCCAATGTGCAGGCAACATTTTTCTACTCGCCCTGCATCAATTCTTATAAATTCTACGCATCATTACCAGTAGACAAGTGGAATTTTTAATCTCTGAATAGGAAGGAAATAAACTGGTTTTTTTACCTTTTTGTCTGTCTCACACTGCCATGTCAATGAGATGGTTTTGTTTTTTTACAATTTTACAATCTGAAAGTCTCTGCAGTGTAGGGCCTTCACCAGGGGTTTTGAGGAATCAAGTTTCTGCCACTTCCTGGCTCAATGGTTATAACTTATAACTGATTGTTGCATTATTTTAATTTCTAGCCAGAAATGTGAATGTTGAAAACTTTGGTGAGTAAGTGATAGAAGTAAATCTTAAGGTTTTAAAACTGCTGAAACATTTTTTTTTAAAATTATTGTAAAATGTGTAGGGCAGAAAAAATGTTTTTAATATTATATCGAAGTACTCTTTATGATAATTCATTAAAGTAATATTAGACTTAATACAATAATGTTAATGTGGAACGTTAAATAACAAAGCATGACAGGGTTTAAACCAGTATATATAGGGCTCATAATGATTCTTTAGTTTATTTTCTTTAGTTTATTACATACAAGTTTTTCTCCTGAATTATAAAACTGAGGGTATAGTCCAGGAGATTGCCTGTGCCTTTGTTTTAATTTGTTACAAGTTATTTTAGACCACCTGTCTTAGCAGCTTACATTTTTATATTGTTTTATATTATTGGAACACACTTTGTAGTAATTACATTACAAAATCTAACACACACATACATATATATGAAAATGCAAGTATTCTGGGAAAAGTGACTGCTTAAATAACATAATAAATATGAAATGTAATATGGTTTTCATTTTGTCAGGATCATACTTCTATTTTAAGTAGGGATGACAGTTTTAACGGTGCTTGCTGTTTGAATAAAATTTTGAATTTGATTAAATTTGTTAGCAAGGATATTGGCTATGAAAATGTTAAAATGATATTAAATATTTAAAATGTTCGCTTTCCCTATCTCTGAATATGTAAACTTTTTATTGATGTTAGAACATGTGACTACTACATGCATGATAAACAGAAATGATGTAGAACAAAGATGTGTTAGATTTGTTTCTGAGGTTAATTCTGTTAGATAATACTCAGTTGGACATTGGTATTTCTTTAAGTTAAAGTCATCAGAATCAGAGGGTCAGGGATTAAAATAGATTCTAACAATTTTACAAAGCTAATGAAAATATGATCAGATAAAACATGTTCTAAATAAACTTAGAAATAATTTTTGTGACAATAAATAAAAGAGATATTTCTAAACTTTATCGGGTAATATCATAAAACCAAAGCTACTCTTGCTTTCTTCTGAGAGTTTCTGTTATAAATTTTTGTCATGTTTGAAGGTGTTTTTAGCTATGACATCATTTTTTGAGAAATATCAGCATGGCCTCTCACATACCTGTTAAATACAGTCTGTTATCTTAAAGTATAGTATATGTATTCCTGTGGAATAAGTACATAGTGTTTAAATAAAAGTTATTTTCTTCTGTTTGAAGGAAAAAGAACAAGGATCACCAGGGTTTACCAAGTGCCAAAGAATGTCATCCTTATGTGGAGGAAAGTCATCAAGTAAATTACTACGAGCAGATTAATGACAAGTCTACTGTCGCTACACCAGAAACCGGTAAACATGTGATATATCATCAACCGTGGGGGAACCAGCCTGGAGTCAATGTCCAGAATCGTGCCAAACCTGCCGATCTTGCCTACGCTACAAGCGAAGAAATTAAAGTTCTTATAGAAAAAATGGAAAAAGATCGGCAAAGTATAGTAGATGGTTGCGATGAACATTACTCTGAACCAGACCCCACCTACTACAGACATATAAGTACATTTTCTTTCAAACCACATGGGAAGGATTCTCCAGACGGTCAAGGTGCTATAGAACAAAAAAGTAAAAATGAAAGCGAAACAGAATCTGTTGCTTCAGAAAATTGTGGAACAGAGAAATTAGAATCTGAAGACTCGAAAGTTGAAGCAGATAGGGGAATAGATTCTGATACAGAATGCCATAAGGCAGAGTCTGAGACTGTGTCAGCAACATACGATGGGTACGAGTCTCCAAGAGTCAGCAGTTGTCAACCATCAGATGCCACTGAGTCTGTTAGGACGAGCGTGCGATCGAGTGTTCCGTCAGAGTTTCAGAATTATGTCTATCATCCAGAAGCTGTTATATTAGAAGACAGCCAGTCTGATTTGGACATTCCAGAAGAATACGCCCCACCTGTTTCTGAAGCTGTTAAAAGTCAGTCCGGCACTGATAGTGATGGGAAAGTAACTCTAGGTGGTTATAGAGAACCAAAGGGAAGTAATGAGTTTCTATTTATGGACACTGATTCAGAAAAGGACACAAAGAGTGATCACCCTTACAGTCCTGTGTATGATGAAATCAAAGAAAACACAAAATTGTGATTTGTAATTGATTTTTTTTGTGTTGTGAATTGTTTTACTTGTTAGATTATTTATGTTTTATTGAACTTTTTTATTGATATTATGAAAGCATATTGCCAATTGTCAATTAATGATTTTCTTCAAAGCTGTTGTTTTCTTTTAAGAATATTGTATATTGTTAATAATGTTGTGAATATTTTTAGTAAAGAAATTCAGAGTGATTATATATCATTGAATTGACATTTTTGATAATGTAGGTTTTTTATCTGAACTTGATTTAAGTGGAACTTACAGGAGAAGATCCTCTTGCATAAAGATGTTAATTTATTATAAATCATTCTTTATTTTTTAATGATAAACTTTTAGTCATTAATGTTTTCTTTAAAGATACTCAACTAAAAACAGCTAATTACAGGTGTACCAGTGTACATGTACATAATGAATAGAAACTTACCATTTTATAATAAGCAGAAAATTAAAAGCATATCTTATATTTTTGGTGGTTGTGTTTTTATATTTTGTTATATAAGATCGGATTCTACACAGTATTATAGTTCAGTTGTTGTTTATCTTTTGAAAATTTTATTAGAAGTTAGCACTGATGTTTTGCAGTTTATGGCATTTTATTGAATTACATACTGTAGAAATACCCTTTAACTTTAATAATCTAATCTAAGAAATTGCTCTATACACTATTTTGTCACATATAATTGAAACATTTAAGACAAGATTAGTGAAAGGTTTATTGCTTTCTTCCAGTAATGATTTTTTTGCTCTTCTTGATTAAATATAAGTCATATTAAAGTGATCTCTTTCCTTATCAATAAAGGTAACAAAGTATTTAAGGCCACTACTTGATAGTAATTTATTGTAGTATATTTTAGCTATAATGAAAGAAAGGTATTTTCATTTAAATCCAGGAATGTTTGAAATTTTACAACATTTTACTGTAAAAACTTTTCACTTATATAATATGATGCACAGATAAACTTGCCAATAGTGAGCACTTTATGTACATATATACATGTTTATTTGTTTATCTGATTTTTAAGGCAATTTTAAATTTTTTCGATCATATCTTAGTGGTTGATCCACCTAACCAACTTGCCTGGATAACTAACCAGTAACTACCAATGTCACAACAAGTAACTAACTACTTATCCTACATGATTTCTGAATCAGCGAAGAGAGACAAAACGACAAAACCAACATAATGGGTTTGCGACCAGCATGGATCCAGACCAGCCTGCGCTTCCGCGCAGTCTGATCAGGATCCATGCTGTTCGCTTACATACTCTATAACAAGTAAATAAACTGATAGCGAACAACATGGATCCTGATCAGACTGCACGGATGCGCAGGCTGGTCTGGATCCATGCTGGTCGCAAACCCATTATGTTGGTTTTGTCATGACGCAGCTCAAATGACCGTTAGAGTCAATGTCCAAGATGAATTGTCCGAGAGAAATTTCACCTCAAACCAAATACTACATTAATCATATTAATATATTTGTCTTAAGATAATATGATTTGGGCATTGTCAAGAAATGAATTGTTGTTGTTGTTGTTGGGGCAGATGAGACATTCTCGACAAAATTTTAATACCTCGATCATTTCCTGTTGATAGTTCTTGTTACATTGTTCATCAATGATTTTTTTTGTAATTAGAACTTTTTTCTGATTCTATAGATTTTTATTTAATTTATTAGCGCATAATAACATTCCAGACTTATTTATTGAAATATTTGGTTGTGTACTGATTAATCTTTCCCCTTTACCCCACCCACATTCCTTTTATTGTTTAATATACTAATTTATTCAATATATCTTAATATTATGTTAATTAAAATATGTTAAATATTTGTTTTATATTATGAAGTTACATATAAATGTTTGTAGCAAATGTTGAAATACATCTTCCATCACAATGTGTACAACATGAAATTATGAAAGTTATAAATGTACATGTGTATGGATATTGTATAAAACAAGTTATTTTGTTTACAACAAATGCTCCCAGTTGACAGGTCAACATCTCAAGGGAGGTAATTGGTCAACATCTGAAGGGAGGTAATTAATGTAATCAATATCATGCTAATTTTGTATAATGTTAAGCTGAATATGAGAACAAAGTTTGCATGATCAGTTAAGCTAATTATAATAAACTTATAAAAGTCCTATAAATGAAGAAAGCAATGTTGTACAAGAATTGTTCTACAATGAATAGGTTAATATGAGAAGGAAAATGTCATGTTTTAAAAAATAAAAAATCTTTTCATAACTTCCTCTGATTTAAATTATTGAAAAGTTTTTTGTTTGTTTTAAGGTTAAGGTCGTAAAGTACATAATGTTTTATAAAACAGGAAATATAAAGATAAGTTTGTGTGGCAGGCTGTATGAATAACTGAGATGTTTATACGATGTTAAACCATTGCCAAAATATGCTTTATTTATTTCTAAAGGTATCTGCATAATTCTAAAAATAAAACTGTTGTTTTTAATCTGTATCAGTTATATTGTTTTAGTAGCTTGTCTATTTCTAAGAGCTATTATAATAGCTGCATCATCGTTGTTGTCATCTTGCAAAAACTTTAATGTAGCTCATTATTCAAACATTTCAAAAGGTATCAATATGAAATATGGTATTGAGACAAGGGGCATAATTTTGAAAGTATTATTTTTTGGAGAGTAATGTCCCTTTTTAACTTGGAATTTTCGCATGCGGTGCTCTTGTTGAAACATAGATTTTCTTAATTTTACAATTTCCTTAATTGTATCATACATTTTATATAATGTAGAAATCATAAAATTGTGTCCCTTTGAAATATCAGTTTTGAAATAGATGGTACAGTTTATTGATAAAATAAAGATATTATATTTGTATTGTCTAAGGTAATTTTGAAAGCAAGATGTTCTATGAACATTGTTTATGTTTTTATTTTGTTAATATGTAAGTTATGTCATAAGAATGTTGAGAAAGGTTTATAATGAATGAACCTCTTCAGTTAGTTGAAGTTTTTATACCCCACCATTTTACCTTGTTACCTTGAAGTAGTATATAAGTGTACTGTCTGTCTGTTAGGGGAGGAATAATGATGTTAAACTTGTGTTGTTATATTTTAGCATGATTGAATAATTTTAAGTTAAACACAGGGGGGACTATCTGCAGATTGTACATGCATGTATACATTTTAGAAAGGCAGAAATAAATGTAGATTGTAATAAACAGAAAAAAAGTTATTTCAGTTCAACTAATTTATCAATGGCATAGTTTTGATGGACACTTTATATGTGTATTTATCTGTTCATTTTTAAAATAATGGGAGTTATATATTGTTTATTACAAACTAAATTGTTTTGCATGACCATCAAGATTTAATGAAATAACTGTAGTATCAATTACTTTTTAATTGAGTAGTTACAAATATGATTCACCAAAAACCTCACAGTGTACATGTATATTTGTTTTTTGTTGTAGTATAATATAATGTAGGTAATACATGTTAAACAGATTTTTCTAAAGTAACATAACTTTCACCTACTTATTGTAAAGTATTTGTTTTCAGCAATGTAATTTGTAAATGTGTTTTAAAGTGTGGTGATAATTCATTACACATGTGCACTTGTTAATTTTTTCACACAAGTCTTGTTTTGTAGAATTATTGAAATGTACAAAAGTAAGGTATTTCCTACAAACTTCTACAAAAAAAAATTTTTTATTATGTTGGATTCTATTTTCCTAATTATTTGATTGAAAACACATGAACTGTTGTTGATTATTGTATTAAAATCAGCTGACTTGAAAATGTTAGAATAATTTAAAATGGAAAAGGGTTTAATATATTTACTAAAGTTGAAAATAATGAAATAAGATTTAGTAATACCACAGAGGTCTTGGATTTATGTTATTTGTGCTGAGGAAGTTTGGTATTTCTTTACCTTTTTAGTTAAGCAAGACTTGACAGTGTATGTAGATGTAGACCCATAGATTTAAATTTGTCCTTGCATAATTTCCAGGAGAAGAATTGATTTTCTTATTGTCTCATGTTTTTCTATGTGCCAGTGTTTTGAATATATTATATAATGATAACAATATACCTGTGATTTAATCACTTATCTCTACAGAAGTTGGTATACAGTAATGTCCCAACAGTTGTTGTGAAATATTGTGTTGTTCCTGGACATGCATCGCTCAATACTTGCGTTATTTGCCATTTTATACTTCATACTGAAATATAGGCTTCCATACAGGAGATATTTTTTTGCTTTCACATCTGTATTGTTTTTGCTGAAATAAATTAAATAAAGAGTCTATTTGGAAACTACAAGAAGTGTTGTTGTTGATGTGCTTTCCTGTATAATACTGCATGTTTGCTTACATCGATTTTCATTATACTCTAATGACATAATAATACATTCCTTACTAGTATATACTGAACTGCAACCAATTAAAGAATTTTTTTCAACCAAAATGACAATTATGCAATATCAATAAAACAATTTAAAGGCTTATAAGTCAAATATCTTTGTAACTAATAATATGTATATCTTAAATTGACTACACAGTTTCCTAGTCTTGTGTCACCTTTAAAACAGGTACAAGACTAGCTAGGGTGTCTTGTATATTACTGATTTTACTTGACTATGCAGGTTTTAGTTTTGGTGCTCTTAAATGGACTATACAGGTACTAGCTTTGTTGTCATGTATAAAACTGACTTTACTGGACTATGAAGGTACTAGCATGGGTGTCATATATTAAAGTGACTTTATGGGACTATGCATGCACTAGTAAGCTTGTGTGTCTTATATAAAAGTGACTTTACGGGCTATGCAGGTACTAGCTAGGGTGTCTTGTATAAAAGTGACTTTACTGGACCATGCAGGTACTAGCTAGGGTGTCTTGTATAAAAGTGACTTTACTGGACTATGCAGGTTTTAGCTTTGGTGCCTAGTATAAAATTGACTTTACTGGACTATGCAGGTTTTAGCTTTGGTGCCCAGTACAAAAGTGACTTTACTGGACTATGCAGGTACTAGCTAGGGTGTCTTGTATAAAAGTGACTTTACTGGAGTATGCAGGTTCCAGTATAAAAGTGACTTTACTGGACTCTTTGGTGCCCAGTATAAAAAGTGACTTAACTGGAGTATGCAGGTTTTGGTGCCCAGTATAAAAGTGACTTTACTAGACTATGCAGGTTTTAGCTTTGGTGTCTTGTATAAAACTGACTTTACTGGACTATGCAGGTTTTAGCTTTAGTGCCTAGTATAAAATTGACTTTACTAGACTATGCAGGTTTTAGCTTTGGTGTCTTGTATAAAAGTGACTTTACTGGACTATGCAGGTTTTAGCTTTGGTGCTCAGTATAAAAGTGACTTTACTGGACTCTGCAGGTTTTAGCATTGGTGCTCAGTATAAAAGTGACTTTACTGGACTCTGCAGGTTTTAGCATTGGTGCTCAGTATAAAAGTGACTTTACTGGACTATGCATGTTTTAGCTTTGGTGCCCAGTATAAGTGACTTTACTGGACTATGCAGGTACTTGCTTTGGGTGTCTTGTTTAAAAGTGATTTTTGGTGTCTTGTATAAAACTGACTTTACTGGACTATGCAGGTTTTAGCTTTAGTGCCTAGTATAAAATTGACTTAACTAGACTATGCAGGTTTTAGCTTTGGTTTCTTGTATAAAAGTGACTTTACTGGACTATGCAGGTTTTAGCTTTAGTGCCTAGTATAAAATTGACTTTACTAGACTATGCAGGTTTTAGCTTTGGTTTCTTGTATAAAAGTGACTTTACTGGACTCTGCAGGTTTTAGCTTTGGTGCTCAGTATAAAAGTGACTTTACTGGACTCTGCAGGTTTTAGCATTGGTGCTCAGTATAAAAGTGACTTTACTGGACTATGCATGTTTTAGCTTTGGTGCCCCGTATAAGTGACTTTACTGGACTATGCAGGTACTTGCTTTGGGTGTCTTGTTTAAAAGTGATTTTAATGGACTATGCAAGTACCAGCTTTGGTGTCCAGACTCAAAATCAAACCAAGTCTGCAATTTTCATGTCATTTTGCTGATTTTAATGCTTCTGAGGGATCATCTTACCAGTTATTTGTATAAAATTGATGTTACTGATGAATAAACAGTGTACCTACAGTTCACTTCCAAAGAATGTTTACAAAATGTATTTTTTGCGTGGTTTTACCACAACCAGGTTTAGGGTAAGTTGAATGTTACTTTGGAAGATGTAAGATATGGATATCCCATTAATGTTGCTACATCTCATCTAATGGTCCTCCAAACAGCAATGTTATATATGACTAAACTGGTGCTTGACAACAGGAGGTAATACAGAAGATAACACAGAAATAAGTTTATATGTAATTTAATGTGTGACCATACAATCATATAGAGAGAATAAATATAAGTTTCATATAGTCAAATATCAAAATATTCATATAAAATATTGTAAGGGAAGTACGAAAGTACTAAATAATGATCAAAAACTAGTAGCAAGCCTTTCTTTCTGTTACGAAAAGTAAAAGCACATTGTAAACATGGAAGCTGATTTCAATATAACAGTTAAATGATGTATCCTAAACCACAGGCAACTTTATTTTACTTACTTATATTATGGGAGAAGTATATGTGTTGTTCAAAACAAGTAAGATTTTAGTTGTTGGGTAATCACAATGACAATATATAACAACTGTTGCCAATTTCTGGTGCTGGAAGACCTGTTATTATTTGGTAATGTACACTAGCTGCATGCTAGATTTGGACCTTAACATTGTACATGATGAAAATCATTCAAATAATTGCACATGCTGTCATATAATTTATTGTCACAAAATCGCCTGTGGTTAAAGATTAAAGCATGAAATGATGAAGAAAAAACAAACAAAATTGAATCACCTTCAGCTGACAATCACATTTGATTTACATTCAAACTTACAGAACTAAGTTTCATTCTCGTAGAAAATAAACCTGCTTATTTCACTGTATTTGTAATAAGTAATTCTAACATTACATTCATGCATGTACACATAAAACCATTTCATTCATATACATGTAATCTCATAAACAGATTATTTTGATTACACACACTATGATAGTTTATATAAGTTTTATACTTACAATAATAAAATGATTTTATATCCACTTTAAAGGTGCTTGAATTCTACAAAATGGCTTAATAGATTCACAGGTGTTTGAAACTATGACAATCATAAAGTTTTTGTAAAATGGAGAATATAGAATGGCTATTAAGGGGATTATTTAGAGGGTTTATTATCACTTGAAAATATAAAACATGTGATAATGCATATTTTAATGGAAATTTTGGTCAATAAAAAGAAGGCTAACAAAACATGTATTTAAAGTCTTATAATTATAGTAGAATATAGTGGAAACTGTAGCATTTGGATTGCATTTTTTAATTTTTAATCAATTCTAATACTGAGTGAGCTGTGATTTTCCCCATAGACCAGTGCTTGTAATATACATGTAATGTGTTCTAGTTTAATCAGTTACCCTTTAATTGATGCATCATGCTTCGTAAATATATATTTTATTAAAATTTCCTTTAAATGTACAGTAAGACAGGCAAACTGAAGATAAACTACTGGTTGTATCAAAATCATCTTGTTTTTCATCTCTAAAAAGTAAACTAAATTAAAATATGCCAAAAAAATACCCAAATCTCGCAGTCAGCTGTTGGTCTATACTGACATCTCAATGCAATGTTCATGATTTTTGTTTTAAATTTTACGTTTATACACAAACATTAACAGCCAACTATTTTATCTATCCCAATCAGACAAATAATGCAGCTATCTTAATATAACATGGATTCAATCAATTCTAGGAATTTCAAAAAACATTATTCCTTGAAACATTCATTCATTGGTGCCATTCCTAACACTACTAATATTCCCCCAACCCCCACATTGTGCCAGAATATTATCAAAATAAATTTACTCAATTTCCTCAAAACAAAAGACATGATTTATGTTGAAACCAAATCTAAAATACATCATTAAATTTATATGCATATTGGGTAAAACTGGCCTTTTCTTGAGGTTATATTTACAGATAAATTATATTTGAGTATCTTGCATCAGATGGTATATAAAATTGTCATTATATTTGATTTTATTTAGTTTTTGCTAACAATGTCTTTCACTCTATCATTTAAATTCGAACAATTCTCATTAAATCACATTAACTTTTCTATATTCTTTCATTATATATAAATCTGATTAAGCACATGTTTGTTGTTTTTTATCAGTAAATAATATATACATTTTGTAAAATATCTCTTAAAACAGTAGGTTATTTATAAATACACATATTTTCATTTATATAACAGATATTTTATCTAAAATTATCTCCATGTCTGCAGGAAGTCTATTATATATGTAATTCTCCTCTTACTTTGAAAAAAAAAGAAAAAAAAAGATAAAATATATATCCTAGAGATGTTCCTGACACTAAGTACAAAAAGGTCACAGAAATTCTTAAACAGTTGAATACTTGTAGTAAACAGGGAGATTTCAACATTAAGACAGCTTGCTGTTATTATTTTATCTTTTACCCATTCACATATATAATATATGATGAAGTTGTGTATGATAAAACATGCCAGCAATAATTCAAGTTCATTAACTTGTTTAAACTAACATGTAACAGTAGTTCAGGACAAAATGCAGACTTTATTACTTGGAAGCCTGTCTGTTATAAATAACCACTAACTAAATTTGCCATTTCATGGAGGTGGCTACAGTATACTAGCAAGCAGTTATCTACCAAGAACATTTATTGGTTCTAGCTTTTCAGCAAGTAACTAACAACTTCTCTACATAAATCATTACAATCAGAGATAGCAACAATGTCTTTCATACTATAGTACCCTGTATTATATAAAACTGTTACTGTCTTGCCTTATATAGTAGTTTCTCTTCTGGTTTTGATTGACCAATTATTTCATTAACAAAAATATTTAATGATGTTATCCCAGACTTGACAAATGAAGGTTTTTCACATATCTAATCACAGTGTACAAACAAAGTTTTAATCTTATCAGCTTTTTGCTGCACTACTATCATTAGTTATCAGTAAATTTACTAAGTTGTAACCTGCATTTACTGCATTTATCGAGTTTGGTATCTGTATTATAACCTTGAAGTTATCTGCCCTTGAACCATATCATAATTTGCACATGAAAGCAATAAAATCAAGATAACACCATAATATTCTTACTGAAGTTTATAGTAGTAAGACAAAATAATAGTAATTATACAATTAACATAAATCATTCGTTAATTATATATTTATTACATTATGTTGTAAGTATATATACTATATAAACCTCTTTAGATTACATCTATATCAATTCTTATACACTTCAATAAATAGTAATTATATTACTATATTCTACATCATTCAACTGATGAATCTATATTAACCATGAAGTTATACTATCTGTGATGACAATAATTATTACTACTAGTATATTGTAAAACTTAAATGCACAATATACTCTTTTGTACAATTATGCATATAAACTGGAAGTTGTTGTTTATGTTTAATGATAGGAACATATTTTCTTGAAGTAAAGATGGTCTTTTACCATTTTAACAAGGTATCATCAAGTACTGATTGAGCTTATATAATTTATTATCTTTAACACCAATCAATAATTGAATTTTAATTGACAACTGTCATCACAAATCATCTGCCTTAATGATTTAATAATAATACAATAACATTTAAACCCATACCCTGCTGGCATTTCTAAAATGGACTTGTCTGTCTTAATATGTTTGGAACTGCCAATTATCAATTTTAGGGATATCAGAATGAAAACTTAAAAGATAGTAAGCCAACAGTATTGAACTGGGTCAGACAGCATGGCCTGGCTACAAAGGCTTTAACTTTTAGTTCCAGCAGGGTAAAGGGCCAGACTACAACCTTATACAGCAAAACATAAATGAACACAATTTGAAGGAAAAAAACTTAATATAGTCTTTGTTTTAATATGAAATAAAATGAGGTAAATACAAAAAAAATCAAAAAAATCACAAAACAATACACAGTACATGTATTTTTCATGTGAAGTAATAAAAACTACCTGTTGAAAATGTTCTTAAAAATCTTCAAAATACATAGAGGTAAACAACTGTATACAAAAAATCAAGAAAATGGAAAATGTATATGGGTATTTCAAAATATTTTTTTAAAAGAGATTTAAACTATTAGTTAATGATTCCACAACTTAAATCCATGAATATTAACATGTCAAAAATATGAATCACACTAGCATCTTTGTCATTCAGTATTCAGTCTGTATCCATATAAACACATGGCTCATTCATTATTGCTTTTTTAAATTTTTTTAAAGAAAAGTTAAAGATGAACTACCACGCTCAAACTGTGTCACTCACTTATTCAACTATTAAGGCATATATTTATTCTAAGTTGATGAAAAATGTAAAATGTTATAAACTTTCATCATAATGAACAAGCCTGTCTTCATGACCAGAGTAAAACTTATAAAACACAATGATTTATTATACATGATAAATGAGGGATATATGGTCAAGCCTTTGGTCATTTTAGTTTACACAGAGAATATTCTAGTATATGTAAACAAAGGCAATCATTAAACAACAGAAAGTAAAACTATGAAGCAATTATTTCATCCAATTAGAAACATTCTTTTCTTCCCTTGTACCCCATGTGATTTAACTCTCAATTATACATATGTTGATGTAATTTAAGTATGTTGAAGGTATGGTGATGGTTTTAATTGACAGTATGGTGAAGGTATGACAAAAGTATGGTGAAGGTATGTTGAGGGTATGGTGAAGGTATGTTGACAGTATGGTGAAGGTATGTTGACAGTATGATGAAGGTATGTTGATGGTATGGTGAAGGTATTTTGAAGGTATGTTGAGGGTATAGTGAAGGTATGTTGATGGTATTGTGAAGGTATGTTGACAGTATGGTGAATGTATGGCGCACGTAACATAAGTGAATTTAAATCTGTATACATGTACTATAACAAAAAATGTTTTACATACAAAAAAATGACTTAATATAATAACAACAGCAGTGAACATAACTCTCTTTCTCTCACAGTGTCACCACAATCCATGTAACATATATAGAAATGATTTATAGCAACACTGTAATAACTTACTATATACATGAATATAGATATATAACTGTTACACCATTCTCTTTTCAACAAGTATGTAATGTCTATTTTATAAATACTTGAGTTTAGCAGAGATTTATAGGAATATCTGTATTTTAAAACAATTTTACCTTTAGACAGTAGTTTATATATCTTCATTTACAAATTGTAATTATATTTTAAAGATATAAATGGATAATGCTTAAGGCAGGCTTTACTAATTACTAGTTTAGAGTAAAATTACTACAATCAAGTTGATGGTTTAAGAGAATTCAGTTCAAATGGTAAAATAAGGCAATACAATGTCAAAGTTTATCATTATTCCCAGCATATGACAAGTATATTTTTAATAAGCATATAAATCAACTGGTCAGCAAACCACAATTCTAGCGAAAAAAATCCCCTTTTCATAATGAACAATAACTAGGAAACAAGTGCTGAGTCTTAAAGCAATTGTTACAGCAACAATGCCTGACAAATGACTGACAGAATAGTCACACTAATATTTGATACATGACTGACAGAGGCATCACATGACACAACTTTATATTCCTGTACCAAAAATAAAGTTAATAATGGAAATATGTTGGAAACATGTCATGTCTTCATGACATTATATATATATATATATATATATATATATATATATATATATAAATATTATATATATAAAATACATTGTATTATACATCAGGACTTGACCTTTAACCTCCATTTATACAGTACAAAGTAACTTAGTACTATGATAAACCTACTGTTACTAACAATGCTAGTAGTGACTAGTACACACCACTCTTCATGAGAAGTTTAAACTATAATCTCACATACATGTATCTACTAGATAGCAAGTTTGGTATGTACATGTATCACTTAAGGTATTAGGACCCTAATGGGCACTATCAGGAACTAAAAAATTGACATCATAAGTCAGATGTATACCTTAAAGTACACCTGTATGCAAAATTTAAACAAAGTTTACCGTACGGAAATCAAGTTATGGCCACTTTTCTGAACTCAAGCTAGGATGTTATGAGGGCCCTTTTTTAGAAATGAGGAACCTTTAAATAATCTGCAATAACATTCTAATGAAAAATGTTTTCCCATTAATTTTTGGTAAGAAACAAATAGTACCATTCAGCTAACAATCCACATAAGCAAAATTATGGTTTCTACATAAAATTTATGAAATCTGTATAAAAATGTTACCCTACCCCACCCATTTTTACCACGTGTCTGGCCATTTTTCTACTTAGGGAGCCTAATTTAAAAAATTCTTAAAATTTACTCAAATGAGTGCCTGTTTTCAAAGTTTCCCTAAATTTTTAAAAAAGTATATTGGTTGATCTTGTAAAATATGAAATACTTTTACCGTCTAGTTTTGATTATATTACACTTCGAAAATATCAGGTACCATATTTATTACTAGATTTAGCATAATTTAGCCAATAAATACCTATATAAATTAAACAAGAGGGCCATGATGGCCCTAGATCGCTCACCTGAATTATCAAACTCATCCAAACAATTACCTAGACAAGCATTCTGACCAAGTCTCATGACAGGTGAGTCAAAAATGTGACCACTACAGTGTTAACAAGGATTATCCATATTTGAGCAGTGCGACCTAGTTTTTTACCCAGGTGACACATATTCAAACTTGACCTAGAAATCATCAAAACAAACTTTCAGACCAATTTCCAGGATACTTGGATCAAAACAGTAGCAACTAGAGTGTTAACAAGATTTTTCTATTTTTAGCTCCGGTGACCTAGTTTCACATGCGATTTCGAACTCATCCAAGCAATTACCTAGACAAGCATCCTGACCAAGTTTGATGATAATTGAGTCGAAAATGTGACCACTAGAATGTTAACAAGGTTTTTCCATATTTTGGCGGTGTTACCTTAAGTTTTTCATCCAAGATGACACATGTTCGATCTTGACTTAGAAATCATCAAAACAAACTTTCAGACCAATTAACAGAATATTTGGATCACAACAGTAGCTAGACAAGCATCTTGACCAAGTTTGATGATGACTGATGCAAAAATGTGATCGCTAGAGTGTTAACAAGATTTTTCTATTTTTAGCTCCTGTGACCTAGTTTTTCATCCGAGATGTCCCATGTTCGATTTATTCCCAGCAATGACCTAGACAAGTTTCCTGACCAAGTTTGATGACAATTGAGTCAAAATTGTGACCACTAGAGTGTTAACAAGGTTTTTCTATTTTTAGCTCCTGTGACCTAGTTTTTCATCCGAGATGACCCATGTTCGAACTCATCCGAGTTATTACCTAGACAAGCATCTTAATCAAGTTTGATGATGATTGATGCAAAAATGTGACCGCTAAAGTGTTAACAAGGTTTTTCTATTTTTAGCTCCGGTGACCTACTTTTTTCATCCGAGATGACCCATGTTCGAACTCATCCAAGCTATCAACTAGATAAGCATCCTGACCAAGTTTGATGATGATTGATGCAAAAATGTGACCGCTAGAGTGTTAACAAGGTTTTTCTATTTATAGCTCCGGTGACCTAGTTTTTCATCCGAGATGACCCATATTCGAACTCATCCGAGCTATTATCTAAACAAGCATCCTGACAAAGTTTGATGATGATTGGGTCAAAAATGTGACCACTAGAGTGGTCACAAGGTTTTTCTATTTTTAGCTCCTGTGACCTAGTTTTTCATCAGAGATGACCCATGTTCGAACTCATCCAAGCAATTGACTAGACAAGCATTTTGACCAAGTTTGATGATGATTGGTTCAAAAATGTGACCACTAGAGTGTTCACAAGGTTTTTCTATTTATAGCTCCTGTGACCTACTTTTTCATCCGAGATGACCCATGTTCGAACTCATCCGAGCTATCACCTAGACAAACATCCTGACCAAGTTTGATGAAGATTGGGTCAAAAATGTGACCTCTAGAGTGTTCACAAGGTTTTTCTATTTTTAGCTCTTGTGACCTAGTTTTTCATCTGAGATGACCCATGTTCGAACTCATCCGAGCTTTCAACTAGATAAGCATCCTGACCAAGTTTGATGATGATTGAGGCAAAAATGCGACCGCTAGAGTGTTCACAAGCAATTGTGGACGGCCGGACGGACGACGGACATTCATCGATCCTAAAAGCTCACCCTGAGCAAGCTCAGGTGAGCTAAAAATCAAAATTAAACACTTTTTTCTTTCCAAATGGAACATGAGAGATACATAAATACTGTTAAAAGGAAAAAAGAAAGAAAAAAAAAGTTGACCCTTCTGGGGATTGAACCCATGGCCTTCATTTTCAATGTAGTTAACAGTTGTTCTAGCCTATTTGAATACTCTTCAAAGCGGAGGTAATGCATTAGGGTGCTAATACCTTAACTTCTGTATCATGTAGAATTAAACATTTGTCCTTACAGGTATGTTTAAACACTGTCTATAAATATATGGTCATGATAGACAGGTAGTCACTAATCACAGATCAATTCAAAACAATGTGATCAACAGAAAAACAAATTGGTAAATGTTAGAATGGCAAACTGTACTATTGTAGTTTAAACTTCAAGGTAGCCTACAATGAGATGGTTAGAAATTAAAGGTTATTTTTAGAGTAAATGTCCATTTTAATCTTTAACCTGCTAGTGACAACTGGAAATAGTCAAATACCCATGTGACCAGTGCAGACTAAGAAAAGCTGGCACATCTGTGCCATATAATTATGGCCTGCACTTTTTGCTATTCAGTCAATACCTGTTTTAAAATTTTCTCTAAAATTGATGAACTGGGAGACCAGTCTCGATTGTTTACAACCTCTAGGCCAATTTGGAAGATGGTTATGTCCATTTACAATATTTAGAATGGTAAGGGTTGAAAATCTTACGAATGGATTTTATATTACAGGTTTATATGTATTTTTATATTTTACCTACATCTCTCTTTTCCAGCAGAAATCTGCTACTGGTTGTTAAAATGTTGAGATATAATTACTGTTTATAGAACAGGTGCTTTCATTATCACAGATATAAGTGGTTTGTTTTTGTTCTTTCTTATCATATCCTGGTTTGATGTAAAATAATTGTATTGTCTTCTTGAATTAAATAAAGATACGGTATTCTACCAATAAAAATCTTTAACATACATTTTTCCTTTCATCAGAATACTTAAAAATTTTCAACTTTTATTTAATATTTCATTAAAAAGTATAATTTCAATTTCATTCTTTAATTGAAGACTAATTGAAAATTAGTTAAATTCCTAATCAACCCATCAAAATAATATATAAAAGACATTATAACTTCAAGCATGTTGCCAAATTCCAAGCAGTTTCAGGAATGAAATATTACATTTATTATAACTCATGAAAGATAGAATTCATAAGTTTATTGAAATAGGAGAGAAGATTGTCGGATGTTACAAAAAAAATCATTTTCAAGACAAAAACTGATTTTGAGAGAATAGTTTGAGGATTGTGGGGAGACTGTGAGAGTTCACTGATAATAGCTGTAACAACAGACTGGTAGCTTAAAAATAATTCTCATCATACTTCATATACCTTACAAAACATGAACCAGTCTAAATAATATATAAATGAAAGTATATAAAATGTTAGGCCAGACTAAATTCCCTGCTATAGTGTTGCCACTTTATTCCTCATTTTATATACAATAATTTTTCAAATTTTTAACTGGTTATTAAACCCAAAATCATAGTTTGTACAAAATATTGTTCTTAATTTTAGTTTTAACTGCATTTTATTTCAATCAGGATTTATAACTAAAATTGTTCTAGCGTTGTGATCTGTTAATGTATAATTATAAAGAGTTCATTCCCCTGGTATTATAATACAGTAGCGGGAAATTTACTCTGACCTTTACAAGATCGTGTCTGCACAATTACCTAGACAAATGGTCCAAATATTTCACAGGATATTATTCTTGTCTTATATTGTTAACAATGAGTATGTAAGCAACATTTAACTTATAAACTGCACTTTTTTGTAATTTCCTGGTTTTTCATTCATCCTGCTTTAGATTAAGTAGTTTCTATCCCATTTTAGAAATAAGGGTAATTGGTGACTAACACTAAATGACAAATCAAGACATCAGTAAGTGATCATCTGTTAGTGAACTAACCATACAAGAACTTACTGTTTCCAATAAGTAGAATCTTAAAATGGTTCCTTCATTTGAGGACTCTCATCTTTCATAATAATAAGGAAAAAGTTGGAACAGGCCAAGTAATTGTATCACACCATAACAGAACCATTTATTCTAATAATTCTGTAATCTTTTGTTAGTATATACTTCTAAAGGTGTACTGTCTGAATGGTGTATAACCAATTGAATACATGTAAATGTGAAATTTAAACTTTTATCCCATTTACAACACAGAAAGATCTTATTTGTTATGCCTTATAAAAATCATTAAGTAAACATAGATATATTATAGTCATATATTGGCATTAAATACCTGCCATGACAAAAATACCTCCTAATTTGCGTTATCACTCTTTTTATGATTCAATTTTGGCAAAGCCCACCATTATGTGCTGATAAGTGAATGAATTATTTGCTACCATGAAATATTTGCTGCTACCAAAATACTAGGGCCATTTATCTAGATTACAAGATTTATGTACAAACAAATAAACAATAAAATATTGAGCAGACAATGTTTGTATCCTGTTTACATGTACAGGTGTGGCACTTTAATAACAAGTAGACCCAGTATCAACTGTTTGTATTTCTTTCCCAAGTCTGAACATTGTGAATCTATAAGCATGATAATTACTAAAAACATTAAAATCTATATAAAATCCTCCAGTCAAGTTTGGCATGGTATAATACAGTATGCCAAAACAACAAAAAGTTTCTTGTTTACTTAAAAATGTTTGCTTTGTTGTTGTTGAAAATTTTGGAGCCAAGGAATTATTGATCATATTCATTAAAATCTATCAAACAGTCATATATGAACAGGATTGAATAGAACAATTAGAAACATTTACAAAACAAAATCTAGAAAAGCACTTCTAAAATTGAAATGAAATTATGTTGGGTCTTTACCATTGTTTTACAAGGCAGCTTCTAACAGAAACTCAGAATAAATGATAAAATACTTCTAAACTGAGGCTCAATGGTTTACCTGTTAAATGTTAAAGTAATAAAGTATAAAAGTAGTTCTGAAAATGAGTCTTTAATCTAATGATTTTCTAAAATGCATTCAGTCAATTTTAACATACTATATGTCCACTTTATATATACCTTCAGTTTATATATCTATGTTAGAGATGTGTTGAGGCATGAGGAAGCCTGTTTTATCTATCTTACCTGGCTTATATAAATAATCTTTAAGTTAAAAACAAGTTTAAAACATGATTTAAACTATGCACAAGGAAACTGACAACAAAGTATTTAATGATAAATGCTATGACAATGTTACCTAGTTATATATATATTATATGATGCAGCATTTTGTTACTTCCTGTCTGTCAATAATTTACAACAAGTGTCATATTACTTCTAGGAAAGTTTGAAAATGTTGGTCAAAATTGTATAAGATGTAATAGAAGCATTATAATGTGTCACCAGGTGATAGAGGAAGTTTAATATCAAATTAAACCATGATTACCAACATGTAAATGCATTTTTGTTAATTCTTTCGTTTTTACATTTCACGTAATTTATGTCACAAAATCTTACTGTCAAAGTGTATGCCATATTATTTTTTTATACGATAGAGCTAGCAATTGATGTTAGTTAATTTACTTTATTGACTTGTTCTATTTTAACATAAGCACGAGACAAGTTGAATAGTCTTATCCCCAACCTACCTACAAGGCCAACATGTCCCATGCATGTGATCATATTATATAAAATCTCTGTATACCTTAATATATGCATAAACTTATCTTACATGTAAGTTGTATGGCCTTGGACATATTATGTAGATATAAAATGTATCAATTAAATCATCTAGGCCTGATACTAAACCAGTATACATTTCATTCACTTTTTTTCATGAATATATCAAAATGCTTTGAAAACTGTTTTTTAAAGTAAAACTATGTAAATTCTTTAAAGGTCCGTCTAGATATAAGTTCAAATTCTCAAGAAATTATTGACCCAATGGGGTAACCATCAATATTCAAGAATTCTTAATAACTACCTACCAATCAGCAAATTATCAATTCCACCTGTCATACAACTGTTTCTACATTATAAACATTACCCTAGTAACGCAGAAAGATTATTATAGAGCTCTACTATATTTTAAGTTTATCCACAGTTCATATTAATACAGCCTTACCTTGTAATATAACTTTTACTGAGTTAGAACATTGTTGCTTTAACTCTAATCTTATACAGTATATTCCCAGTATGTAATGTTTTAAGTCAGTGAATTAATCCTTTATCATTTTCAATATCCTAGTACATGTATTATGTTTTATATCAAAGATTTGCTTGTAGATATACAGTATATGATGGCACACCTGTGTATATTTTTTATAATTCTCGTCAATCAGTTGCTATGATATTTCATACAGGAGACAATAATTGGGCCGCGCCATTAAAAAACCAACATAGTGCGTTTGTGACAAGCATGGATCCAGATCAGCCTGCACATCTGCAGTCTGATCTGGATCCATGCTGTTTGCTGGCAGTTTCTCTACTTGTTATAGGGTTTGTAAGCGAACTGCATGGATCCTGATCAGACTGCGAGGATGCCCAGGCTGATCTGGATCCATGCTGGTCGCAAACACGTTATGTTGGTTTTGTCATGACACGGCTCAATTATATGTTTGGATACACATGGAACATATATATGTATGATAAATCTATATAAAAGTAAAAATCTATATATAGGCAGTGTAAAATGGTGGTACTAAATAGTCAGTTTTAAAATGGTCTTGCAAATTATGCAAAATACTTTACTATTAAAACTTATTGTAATATATATTACATATTTTATTCCAATATACATTCACATTCAAACATTCTTATGTTGATTTTATAGAATAAATTTACCAAAAACTCTCTAGTAACAGAATTTAAAAATTTTAACAACATTTATGATGACTGTCACTAACAATTTTCAATTGGATCAATGTTCAAAATTTTACCATTGGTTTATTAATCTTGTCACATAATGTAGTTCTATATACATTAAGACAGAACAAGATAGCTTACTCATTATATCAGTCTATAATATCTACAAAATATCTATGTATAGATGTTAGTATAAAAAACAGGATGTATTAATCAAAATACAGGAAAAACTCATCAACTAAACATGTTTTAAACAATTAATATCTTGTTTTTCTGATATACCAATCTGATTTTTTTAAAACTATCTCAATTTAATCATGTAATTTTCATGTTAACACAAAAACAAAATTTAATGAAGCTTGACAGTCTGTAAAAGCTATAAAACAAAATCTGTTTACTTAAACAGTGTTAGTATAAGCAATTCTTATCTTAATTATAAAATTTTACTGGTCAAAATAATCAATTGTAAAAAATATCAGAATCCTTGCTGTATATAACATGTTGGCACAGGTAAATTTTTCTAAACATTTATACATATACATGTAAATAAAAACAAACTTTAGGTTTTTTGGATTAGGCCTCATGTAACTTTCAAATCATATATGTTCTACAACAACCAGGTGGTTTTATACTACTAGAATTTTAATTGTTTTCTATCAAAGAATTTTGTAAGATTTGTCTTATTTTAACTTTGTTTGTTATATCTCTGTAACATTTTTCAGAAAATTCAACAAGTTATTTTATAGAAACACCAGTTATTATAGAGAAACACCAGGCGGGATCATAGAGTACAGAAATATCAATGCTGTACAAAACCTTGTTATTCCTGCTCTCTTTGTCTCATGTAAGGATTGAATTATTAGATTATCTCTTAATTTCTCAGAAATTCACCCCCCCCTCTCTCCTTATGTTTAAGTCATGCCTTATATCAACTAGTAAAACATACATGACACCTCAAGTGTTTTAACACTGAGTTTACTTTAGAAGAATTTATTCAATATTTCAGAACCCTAAACCATTCCTGAATCAATCAAGAAGTTTTAAGAATTTTAAGGCCACACTCTTTTCACATAAAGAATCGTTGACATTTTCTGCTGTCATAAAGCAAACAATTAAAATCCAATCTCCTGTCTGAGCTGCAGAAAATGTCTAACAGTGACAATAAACTGGTAATTTTATAATTCAAGTCCTCTGTGATATCTTTGACACAGCATTACATTCCCTACACTGAAACATGTTACACAAAAACACAAGGTTTCTTTCATGTCAATGATTTTGATTCCTAGTGAGTTTGAATCCGAATAAATATATGGTCAATCATGCAGTTCAGATGCACAACCCTTCAATATAATCCTTTCACACTGAATATTTTTGATTTTTATAGCAGATAAAATTATCTCAGCAGAAGTTTCTTCAACACTCCAACCTGTACTTCTTTGTCATTTTTATTACTTTAGGTCCTTGTGCTTACTTTTGCCTACTTTCTGGTGAAACCATTCTATCTCAAACATCAGTTCCACAGAACCAGTCTGAGTAACATGTATGCATAATCTATTATCACAACACAATTGGTTCACATGATAAATGTTTGGACATTGCACAGTTTCCATCTTCATTCATTATAACATCATCTAGCACTTTGTGATCATATATTAAAATTGTTCAGTTGAAGACTACAATACTCTACTGGAGCATCAATGACTTTAAATTGTCCTGTAGAATTGTATCTTTTACCGCCTGAAACACGAATTTGATATTTTCTGTGTCTATTGCCGTTGTGAAATGATGAAAGAGAGGCTTTGTTCTTTCACGTCGCCTCTCATCAAACAATCCAAGAATGTAGTTCTGGACATCCTCAAGGCAGTGTGGGTCTCCCTCAAAATCATTAAATGTCTCTTTTATACTAACAACCTTTACCTTATCTTCTAGTAAGTCTGTTTTGTTGAGAAAGAGGATAATGGACACATTAGAAAATGTCTTGTTATTGATAATGGTCTCAAAAATGTCACATGACTCCAGCAACCTGTTTGTTTTCCGGTCTTCCATAAGAACTTGATCAAACTCACTGGACGAAGCCAGGAACAAGATTGAGGTGATTCCCTCAAAACACTGGAACCATTTTTGGCGCTGTGACCTCTGACCCCCTACATCTACAAACAGGAAAGGGATTCCTTTGATATCAAATTGGTGTTCGATGATTCCTTTTGTAGCTTTTCTAGCATGAAGTATATCTAGTTTGACAGGAACATAGTTCTGGAAAAAAAGAGTTAAACGCTGTCATTTAATATGTTGAAATATGAGAGCACATTATAAATATCATGCTCCCATCATTTTACTTATATAACATACAGATAAAATGTCAAAAACCACATCATGGAAAAAATTGCACATGAAAGTGCATAAATTAAGTTATATATCAGGCATTAATGCAGTCAGGATATTTATCTTGAAATAACATTATGTTAGATTGACAATTTCCTTACATAATATTATATGGGAAAATACAATCTTACATGAAATTTTACCAGGAAAATTACGAATCAAAAGGGCTTATTAGCTTTAACGCAAATAATCTTATCATACAATCAACAAGAATTATTTACTCTAACATACTTATAAGGCAATGAAAATCATAAGTATTTTTAACAGCTTTTTTCTAAAAATCCCATTAGGTGCCGATATTGGTCATAGACATAATCAATTCTTTTCAGCAATTAGTGATTTAGGTCAAAATACTTCTTTGTGTATATTTTTCTACTTTTATGACAATTTCACATTCAAGGCTACTTTTTTCTGGTTATAAGCATATAACATGCTTTTAAACCATCATTTAAACATTATTAAACTTGTCTTTAACCTTTCTAAAAGAAATTTTTCATTTGTTTCTGAGGCAAAATATGTGGTTAATATATAAACATGTTTCAATATATGACACACCACTTTTTTGAGTATACATCAAAATCTTCTCATATAAAAATGGCAGTGACCTGAAGAAGTAAAGGTAGCTATAAACTTAAACTGATTAACATATCAGGTTGGTCAAAATCAAAGTTCAAATCTGTTTAGAAGGACACCTACACCATTGGAAAATTGAAAAGTGATACCTGTTTGAAAATGAAAGATAACATTGTTGTTATGTGTTCTTAGAAATGTGGTCAGTATAACATTATTATGATTTGTTAATTAAATTTATATTAAAGAAAATTGTACAAGAATATCTGTATCACTGATGGATGGTGACTGTTTCTGCAGACACAGATTTATTATATCATTAAACATTGCCTTACTTATTGTTAAGTAGTAATACATGTAGTTACTAAGTTAGTAATAGTTACTAAGTTAGTAATAGTTACTAAGTTAGTAACAGTTACTAAGTTAGTAATAGTTACTAAGTTAGTAATAGTTAGTAATACTTACTAAGTTAGTAATACATGTAGTTACTAAGTTAGTAATAGTTACAAAGTTAGTAATAGTTACTAAGTTAGTAATAGTTACTAAGTTAGTAATAGTTACAAAGTTAGTAATAGTTACAAAGTTAGTAATAGTTACAAAGTTAGTAATAGTTACAAAGTTAGTAATAGTTACTAAGTTAGTAATAGTTACTAAGTTAGTTATAGTTACAAAGTTAGTAATAGTTACTAAGTAGTAATAGTTACTAAGTTAGTAATAGTTACTAAGTTAGTAATAGTTACTAAGTTAGTTATAGTAACTAACTTAGACAGACAATAGAAAATGTATTTAGTCTCTGTAACTTTGACCATTTTGACTTGAAACCCTACCCGACTGTAACAGTTGTGAACATACTAATCAATAAAAAAAGCTGCTATGACAATGTGACAAAATGAGAACAGATAATGAAACCTGCAACTACTATATACTACTAAACCTCAAAAAATATTTAGGAAGATAAAAATGAGGTCAAATATTAGGTTAAATGTAAAACATATCGGTATCCATAATAAACAGTACAAAATAAGTTCTAGACAATTGACATTTATTAATTTCTGTTGATGAACTTTGTCATGTTCAAATCAAGAGGGTTTTGACGAAATTCAGGGCTCACCTGGAGAAAACGGATTTTGAATTTCATATGAGATTAGGAAAAAAAAAAGGTGTGTATATCTGAGTAGATACTACTAGATAGCCAAACGACTGTTAACTACATGCCTGGCAACCCAGCGTGCCTTTGTATTTGTTATGGTTTTATTCAGGTATATTTATGGAAACACAATTGTTCAGGTAAAATGTCTTCTCATTTTTGTTTTCATTAGGACAGTAAGAATCATTTCAACATGACAAGAGAAGACATATATATATATATATAGGGTTTACTAGTAATCAATGATATAAATGAGAAATGAGAAAATCTCTTACAGAATAAAATCACCATAAAAATCTTGATAAAAGAGAAGTATAGTACAAGTTAATATTTCCACATTTGGTATTTAATATAGTTCTATTGTATGTGAAAGTTGGAGTTCAGTACTTCCCTTATAAAGTATTTCAGTTATAAAAATAATGTTAACTAGAAGCAACAAGTACAATGCCAAACTTTATAGTGTAGCTTCATGAACATTTGACCCCACTCAGTGACAGACATTTCATACTGATGTCTAACAAAATGGAAGTTTGTAGTGTAAATTAATGTTAAACTGATTTCAAGCCAAATGGTAGACTGAATGTTATATAATACTAATGCAAAGCAAAACACTAAAATTTAAAGCTATCAAAAAAGTTTCAATATAAATTTAATCTAAGAAACAATACTTACAGGATTTCCTATTCTATCAAGGCCTGCCATGAAATATCGCAAGGAGTCTCCCTGAAAAATAAAAAACATTATATTACTGTAGTTATAAAAGTAAATAAATGCTCTCTTACTAGGGATATCTTGATACAAAGCTTCAGATCTATAACTTATGATGTTCAAAACTGATACTGTCATGGCGTTAATACCCCCGCATACCACTTTGTCAGAATCAACAGTGGCCATTTAGTGCTTAGGGACAACCTATCTGCCAAATCTGAGGGTAGTAAGCCAGTGCATCAGGTAACATGGCCCTACATAAATGGTTATTTGGAAATATAGCAGGTTGGGTTATATTGCAAACAAGTTCATTTATATATGGTCATATAACCTGTCAGGAATGTTTATAACAAATTCATTATACAGCAAATTTGCTTTTTAAAAAAAAAAAACAAGTGAGATTTTTTTTTATAAATTGACAGCAGCAGCTGTATATATAAAACTATATAAACGAAACGATTATCCAATGCAAAGCGGCATTACAAACATATATACATTTATTTTATATACTAGCATCAGCTTCCGATCAAATACTATATAAAGTTGGCACTTCTCTAAAATCCTATTTCTGCTTGTAATTTCATAATGCATTATCAGGCAATTTTTGTAGCCTCTTGTAAATTTTTTTATCATGTGCAAGCATTCAAAATATCTCATTTTCATTGAAATACCAATATCACAACATTATGCATAATAGCTGACTCAGCAGTTTCTAAAAATAGAACCAGATCAGACAATGAAAACATTCCTTTCATAAATCAATCAATTTTATCCCACATTCTCAGTGTTATGAAATTAGTTTGACAATGTTTGAAAATTTTATAGAAACTTGTTATCTACAAATGTTGATGTATATATCATAACAAAAATATCTATGTTTCAGAATAGAATGTGAAGTTACCAAAATATTTTGATGAAAGGTTTTGTGAATAAGAAATTCTCTTAAGAGCTATTCTAAGCTATTTTCTCTGATAGTTTACATTCCTCGAGGAAATATCCACTTGTATACAAGGTTCTAAAGATAGAGCAAAACTGTTAATAACAGACAATATAAATAAATCTAAACACTTCTGTTGTTGCAAAATATCAACAAAATGTATTACAACTGTAAACATCACCTTATGTCTGTTGATACATGATTAAATTGTTGTTGACATGTAAGTTACAAAATCTGTGTGAATTTTTGCATATTATTAGAAATGTAATTTTAAAATACAAATAAACATGATGTTCCAAATCACCAGGATTACAGTACAGTTACAGATAATCTAAATTTATTGTGTTTTTTTTTGGTCATAGATGTTCTTAATTTCTTTTTACATATGTTTGGTTTTAAAAAAACATTGTTATTTCACCAGTATAGCAACTTTTCAGGAAATCTTGAAATTTCTGGAAGCATTTTTGTCACCTGAGGGCAGTGATTTTTCTCACTTTATTGGGAAGAGGCCTTAGCCTCTTGATTTTGGGAAAATTATCGCTAAAATTGCTGATTTGGGAAGTAAAAAAGCTGGTTTGAGTTCAGATTTTTGGGAAAACTGCATGATTTTAAAGAAAATTTTAATTGGGAAGAGTCCTTTTTTCGGAGTCTGTTATATAAGTAGGAAAATCACTGGAGGGTCACCAGAATGATAGTCTCTGTCAGACAAGAGTTTTGATGTCAGCCAGGGTTCAGATCTCTTTTATTTTTAATGCTACAAGATATGTTTATTGCTATGTTCTATAATTATAATGTCCTGAGTCTACAGGGCATTATATAGAGGATATTTGTTTAGTTCAGTGTAAGATCGGAATATATTTCACCGAGTGAGCACCAAATGGTATATTTCACGAGTGGCGCAGCCACGAGTGAAATATGAACTTTTGATGTTCACAAGGTGAAATATATTTCAATCTTACACTAAACTAAACAAATTTTCTTTTTATTATATGCAAAGAAACGTTTTAAAAGACATTTAACCTAAAGGGCGCCAAATAATAATATAATGTGACGTCATTTACGACGTCACGTCATTAAGTTAGTTCCCAGTACTGTGCACGCTGGTATTTCACTGAAATAATGTAAGGGGCTTAAATTCAAAACAGTGAAATTATCAAAGTGGTAATTTCACTGTTTCAAACAGTGAAATTACCATTTTTATATCACTGATATATTTCTATAAACTACCGAAAAGCATGTAATAAAACATGTTAATTTCACAGTCTTGTTTTAATATGTGAGATTAGGAATTAATATAATTACACTGTACATCATGTACATTAACTTTAATTGTAGTAACCTTGAATATAATAATAACGTGACAATCTAACAATATAAATGCTTAACTTTTGTCCTCATACTTGAGATCAATGTTTGGTCAAAAACACACTTAAAACTTGAGATGAAGCTTTTGATAGACAATTATGATATGATGCAATCTTATCTGGATAAATATTTAATTTAATCTTAATTTAACTTTAAAGTTATATGACATACATGAGCTTTCATAAACGTTTGATTTCAATTTAAAACCCTGGAAGCATTGAATTAGACTGACCTTGGCACAGTACAGTCACAGCATCATAGTCATGTTAAGTTATTGTTTAATTAAGGGAAAAAAAAAACTGAGAAATAGTACAAAGTCCGTTAAGATGAGATAGATATACATATATATTATGCAATCTGCAGACAGGGGCATAGGCCTTGTAAGCGCCAACATTGTAAAACAAGAGCTGTCAGCAAAATTGACAAATGCCCCGAAAAGGTTTCTTAAGTATTGCCCCGAAAAGGTTTCTTAAGTATTGCAAAAGGATTTATGAAAAGACAAGAGAATAAAAGTAACTAATTGCTTAACCTTGTTCTTGTGAAATGAAGTGCTATTTATAGCAAACTTACCACCTTGGGACATGGGTCTTGGATGCTACATGTCATCTTGAAGTGGTAGACATTTATGCCAAGTTATTTAAAAATCCTTTGATGCATGACAAAGTTAGTCCGGACACTAAGGTGTGTACCTATAATCTCTAATTATTGTGATAGTGTGAACCTTCAAAATGTAAGTGTGACCTTGACCTTTGAAGAAGGGACGTGTTCTTGGATGCCACACAAGGTAGTGATGTGGTAGATATTTATGCCAAATAGTTTCAAAATCCATACAGTCCGGACACGATTGTTGTGTAAGTGGGGATGGATAGACGGACATGAGCTTTAGCTGTGAGACATCGTCTTGATGTGGTTGACATTTGTACCAAGCTATTTTAAAATCTTTCGATGCATGACAAAGTTACAGTGCGGACACAAATGTAAGTACCTGTACAAGTGAAATGGTTTCCTGCGGTGAACATTTTAATGATATAATGATATTTCATTTAACTATTTTCAACATTTTTTTTTTTGGGGGGGGGGGGGGGGGGAGGGGGGGGATAAATAAACGTTTGTATCAGGAATATAGTTGACAATTGAATAAACGATCATCTTTGGAAACTGGTGACCGTTGAAGACCGGAGAAGGTTGAACATAAAACAATTATTTCTTTTTAAGAAAATGATTAAATAGGCCTACCATTTTATGAATAATTCCGAGCAAAACATAAATAAAGTAAACACACAAGTTTACGCAGAAAATAACGCAGAAAATAACTCTATTTATTATGGCAGATGCCACTACGAATATTCTAATTTTGTAGATTTTCAGTATAAACAATTTATTGATTGTAAAATTTGAGATAGATATTAAAGAAACATTGATAATTTTCAAACACATCATTCAAGTTTTCCACCTTAAACGGTAAAATAATTATAGAAAATTAGAAATATCACGTAATAGTTTTTTGTTCTTACTAATTCCCTACAGGTTAATCCGTAACGTACCGGCAAACGGTATTTAGCTAGGTTTTCGAAAAGGTCAATTAACCAATCATGTACGGTTTACATATCACATGCTCCTCCATGTACCGAAAACAGGTCACGTGCTCCTCCATGCCTCAAAAGTTAAACGCGTACCAATACCCTGCGGTCTCCAGACCGCAGGGAATAAACTCTAATTGTGATGAAGTGAACATCAAAATGTTAGTGTGACCTTGACCTTTGAGGTAGGGATGTGATTTTTGGAGGTGACAGACAGACAGACAGTGTGATTTTAATTTGCTGCCCTTCAATGGCATAAAAATACTGGTGAGTGATGTTTTAATTATTATCTAGTGTTGTTGTTAGTATTGTAATAGTAAAGTGAGGTAATATATATTTCATTACGTAATTTTATTGACAGGATGAAATAAGAACATAATTATATAATAAAGAAATATTTAACAATGTCAATCTATATTTTAAACTCAACATAAAGTTATGACCCTGCCAGATAGCATTCTTTATAATTAAGGATAATCTAGCCTTAATCTTTGATTTACTACTGTAATAAAATACCTAAAATAGTTCACATTCTTAAACTACTTAATCTTTTCATACAATTTATTTCCAATACATCTTATAGACCAAACAAGACACACTTTCTTCACTCTCATAGTAACAACATATGATTTTTAAAACCGAATGGGTCCAAAATTTGTTTTATTTTTGCATTAATCATTCAAACATGTTAAAGTTGACCTGGACCATAATACAAATTGGTGACAATATGTACCAACAATCATTAGTTATTAATATCATAATCATAGTTATGATTAGTATCCTCATTTATTTCTTAAATAAAGTTATTAATATTATCATTATTATTATTATACAGATGTAAACACAATAGGTAAAATTAAATTGTAGTGTATGCAGTGATGGGTCTTTAAATATGATACCAATTTTATATATGTCCAGACATTAAGGCACCTGCTATTAATGGTACTTTATTCATTGTGATATGAGACACAAATATTGATCATAAATATGCCAAAAATTATCTACTACAGAACACCAGTTTTTTAGAGTTCTAAATCACCCCTGCAGTGATATAGTTAACTTAACTATCAGAAATTACCATAGTATATGACACAAAGTGAAACTGTGAATTCCCTATGAGACATAGCTAGTTA